CTAAAAAAAAAATATCTTCATTATGTTGTAAACAATTCATCTTCAAATTTATTCTTGATCATTTTAAATACCGAAAATTTTTGATAAAATATAAATATTTTTTAGTTTGTCATATTTATTCTCAAATTCATTTACATTTTTACATATGTGATTTGTATTTGACATTTTAACATTGTAATTTAAACATATTCAAATTAATTGGTTTTAAAAAGAAGCTTAAACATATTAAAACTGCTTGGTTTTATTTTTAAAAAGAAACTTAATAGACTGCCTATATGTATATGTATATATATATATATATATATATATATATATATATATATATATATAATATATATATATATATATATATATATATATATATATATATATTTATATATATATATATAAGCTTTTAATAATTTCTAAAAAAATTAGGGATGTACTAAAGCTTCGGCTTCGGTTTGCCGAAGCTTCAGTTTGGCCGAAACCATGGGCTTTTTGTGGCAAGGCTGTGTGTTGGGCGGCCAAAAACGGCACGATAGCGGATAGAAAGTAAAGTTACTTAATGATACACATTGATTTTTTTTATAATCACTCAATATAATATAATATAAGCTGATTTAAACTGTAACATTATAGTAAACTTTATATAATTAAATACCAATATAATATATATTGGTAAAGATACCTTTATATAATTAAATATTCTAATATATAGTTATAATTCGAGCTTAGCAACAAAATTTATTTATGCATTAGTTGGTAGCAAAATAATGAAAAATAATTAAAATTTAATTTTTTTAGCATTTAGTTATTAGTTAGCATTAACTTCTAAAATCCGAGTTATATTAAATTATATATTTTTTAGTATTAGTTTAATATTAGCCCCTTAGTTGGTGAAGTGCATACCGTTACACTTGCTCTGATAAAGATACTTACAAGTTGAATTTCTCAAAGTTTTCAAAGAAAGTTTTGTGCCTCCTACATCTGTAAAAAGTGAACGCTTATTTAACACATCTGGAAACATATTTGAAGCAAAAAGAAACAGACTATTACTCGAACATGGAGAACAGATTGCATTTTTAAATTATAATATGCCTGCTTTCATTAAATAAATTATTATTAACTAAATAATAGACTGTAGCTTCTTAGTTCAACTGATTCAACTTTTTAACAAAATTTAAAACACATACCAAATTTTATGTTCAAATTAAAATAATAACTTCTTTTATATTTTTACATTTTACGTGTTTACATTTTTATGAATTCTTTCAAAGAATTGACCATAGATTACTTTAAGTATCAGTAAATGTCTAAGATTTAGTGATGTAATCTTTCCTATACCTGCTAGATATATAGAGTTAAGACTCTAAATTTCACTCTCTAAATTTTTGTACAAAATTTGTTTAAATTTTTTATAATACTGATTTTTTTTGATAATTTTCCTAAAATGGGCTTGTAGGCCAAAACATACAAACCTAAAACATTAATATATAATTTTAAAAGCAGCTTGACTACTCAAATCACCGTGGTGAAATAAATTGAGCTTTAAATTACGTATAACTTAAGCTGAAGCTTCGGCTTTGGCAAAGTGGCTTTGCCAAAGTGGCTTCGGCTGAAGTTTCAGCTTTGGCAAAATTGTACTTCGGTAGTTGACCACGACTCATTGCAAGTTTTGATAATTAGCGCGTTTAAAAAATTGCGCTAAAAAAAACAAAGCATATCAAAATAAACAATCCATAAACTTAAAAGAGAATAAAATCCTTAAAATAATATATATAACGAAAATTAACCTAAAAAAGTAAAATATTTAAAGAATGATAAAATAATTTTGCTTTTATTTGCTTATACAAACATTGCTGTTTGATTAAGATTTTTCAAAACGAACGCATTTTTTCAAAATAATTTTGCGATCATTAGTTTTTTATTTATTACAAAAAACACTTATTTAAAATGAAAAACAATTAATTACAGAGACCTTTTTCAAAAAATGCCAAAACATAATTACTTTTTTCAATAGCATCACTTTTAAGTAAAATAAATAGAAAGTAATTATGTTTTAGCATAGTATTTGCATGCGCTAACAAAAGTAAGCATAATTTTACATAAAATAAATGCTTTTGCAAAAACTTCCAAAGAAACCGTCCAAAACAATTCGATTGCTTTCTTTTATTGAAGAAAGCGATCATGTTTAAGCATGGTTTCTTTTCTGTTTTTAGCAATTATATTAAAAGTTTCAAATCAAATGATTTCATTATAAGTAAAATTGTGCATGTTTTTTTTTCTTAATTTTATTATTTTCCATAAAGTGAAATAATGTTTGTTTGCATATTAAAAACACTTTTAAAAGTTTTTTTTATTGTGCGCTTATCATTAACTTGCGCGCGCTTTGCAAATGTATAAAAAAAAGTTTTTGAAAAATAACAATTGAATTAATTTACCAAGCATCTTTGATACATTTGATAACTTATTAACTAAAATAAAAATTATTTGAAATTTGTTTGACATAAATCTCTTAAATTAGACGTTCGTCAATAAATAAAGATACGCAAGTCAACGTTCATTAAAAAAAAACGGTACGTCACGTCCTGGGATAAAAAATAGTTGGAAAATGTGACTGTTTCAAGATCATTTTTTTATAGGAAATAATTTTTTAATAAATAATTTTTCTTTTTTTTAGTCAATAGTTTCTTTATTAGAAATTATATTTCCATGATAAAACGGTTTGTAATTATATTTTGATAGCTTCTGTTCTCATTTTGCCTTAAACTCTAATCTGAACTTTTATTCAATGATTGCTTTTACTAAGTTTCATTAAAGTACTCGTGGCAGTTTAATTGTAACTATGGAATCAATTAAAAATCGCATTTACATTTGATTAGTTTTTTTTAGCACATTTTTTAAATGCGCTAATTATCAAAACTTGCAAAGAGCCATGGAAAAGTTGTTTAAACAAAGAACTATATGCGTGGTCATATAAAGCATCCGATCGCACACCTCTTACAAGAAGGCCTGTGACATGTTTTGCGTGTTCAACTTATTTAAGTCTGTTGATGTATTTATTCTCCCTCATATTTTACCCATTTAGTCAGTCAATCTATGTACACTCTCTGCATGTTCTGCTTTATTAGATCACATTAAGCTCATTTGCGATATTATTCCTTATTCTGATTTTTGATAATCAAAAACGCAACAATATGCAACATTATTCAATATTCTGTTTTTTTAACAATTTAAAAAAATGCAATACTTATTTTTAATTTTCTAACATAATTTCATCATATTTCCAGGGATTCCATTTTCATGTTACAAAAAAAGTGTTGACAACTAAGGGGCTGTTAAAAAATTACATCACACTTTTTTTAAAGCATGTTTAACTTTTTTCACTTTTATCGTAAAATGTCATAAATCTGTACACTCCCCCCCCCTCTTCCCCTTCCTTTCACTGCTTTCTCATACAGTGCAACATAATTTATAAACAGCTTTTATTCTTTTCTTTTTTATGGGGATTTTTATGTTTTAAGGTGCTTTACTAAATGAAAATTTATAATTAAATAAAAGTTATATACTACCAAATGCTTTGGATGAAAATTAAGATGAAAGAAATGAAAAATCAATTTATGTATACTTTTGAAATGTGATATTTGGACAAGCTGTCTGCCTGACATATAAACTTAATCTATATTTAGGTCTCAACAAGCTAACATATTAATGAAATGAAATAACCATGCGGTGTGTTTAAAAATGCCTATTAAAAAACACATACTTTGTTCTATTAATAGGCAAAATGCCTATTAAAAAACAAAGTATGTGTTTTTTAATAGGCAAAATGCCTATTAAAAAACACATACTTTGTTTTATTTTCAAGTTTAAAAGTGCATTTGACTACACTTAATTAAAATTTCTAAATATTTGATCAAACTTTGAAATCCAATATCTAGAGAACCAATTAATTTTTTTTTTAAAATCTTGGATTGAAGCTTTTAATGTAGTTAGTAATCAAATATTAAAAAAGTAACAATTTTTGAGGAGATCTACTATAGCATTATAGGGTTTTGCTTATCTTGATAGCATACAGCTTTTTCAAAAAAAACAAAGGAAAAAAGGAATAATAATTAAAGAAAAGATTGCTGCCCCATTCTAAATCATCTGTTTATGCAGCAACTCTCTAATGTGGTAGCAGGCTATAAGATAGTCAATGTATGTACTGAAGCCCTGTACATACTGGTGCCCACGATGAATGATAATATATATATATATATATATATATATATATATATATATATATATATATATATATATATATATATATATATATATATATATATATATATATATTATCTAGAGTCCAAATTAACAGGATTCTCCTGTATATAAAAAACCCTTGAACCCTTGGAATTAGGAAAAAATTTTTTTTTACTATTTGCAACACTATTCCTTATTTTGGGGACATTAGTCCTTTTTAATATATTCAACATCCAAATTTTAATACATTCCACAATCCAAAGTTCATTTTTGGACCTTATTACTGTTACTCACCCTGGTTTTTCAAAAATTATTACATGAGAGAAACCTGAACATAGTTATTTTAACTATCAGATTGAAAATAACATTTGCGGAATTTATCAAGTTGTTATTTAGACTTTGCAAATTTTTGTATCAAAAACATTTAAAGTAAGCTTAGTTTTAACGCTTTAAATTTTTGACACAATTTTGTTTTGTGACCAAAGTTTTTGAAATGCTGTAATTGATTCTTAATTTTTTCTCTTCTCCGCATGTGTGGAAAAGAGAGAATTATCCAGAAAAAATCATCATTTTCTTTAATTTAATTGCCAAATACAAACTATTTTATCATCTTTTAATTACAATTTCCATAACTATTTTCTGTTTTGAAAACTTCCAACAATTTTTAAAACCAAAAAAAATTAATAGATTTTGCTTAATTGTTATGGTTTCAAAACATTGTTTTCGCCATCAATCATGAACTCACAGTACTTTATATTATTTGGACTGTCTAT